AGTAAATTAGTTTAAAAAAAAAAAAGAAAAAAGGTGTGCCTTGAACATTACTCTTTAGAGCTCTCTATATTGGATTAAACTGACAGGAACTCAAAAGATTTAAGGTATACACAGGAAATCTTAGGAGGCAGTGAGTTTATGTTAATAAGGGAAAATAAAAAAATGGTTGTACAACTTACAAGAATGTATTCAGCTTCACTAAATTGTACATGTAGAAACCATTGAATTGATGTTTGTTTTGCTATGTATATTCTCAACAATAAATAAAATTTAGGAAAAATTTAAAGCCCCCAAAAGTTGATACTTACCAATCCCCATCCCAAGTCCAATACTTGTTACATTTCCAAAATGGTTATACAGAGAAGTGTTGTCGTAACTAGTCACAGCCTAAAATCATGCCTGAGAAAGCTAATAATGAACATGGACAAATCAATGCCAAACATCCACATTAGCAGAGCCACCCTCCTTAACAGCAACATTTCATAGGCTGTTAAGTACCTTCTAATCAAGTTTCATTCTGTGTGACATAATTGAACTGTTGCGTTGGGTTTCCCACTGTAATCACCAAGTCCTTCTCCAACTGGGCTACTAGATGAGTTAGAGCCAACCTTTCTATTAGTAGCACTTAACCCTTTCACCACTAGGGCTCCATTTTAGACATATTGACACTAATCATTTTCAAAACAAAGCAAGGTGGGCCTGTGCCAAAAGTTTTCAATTCTGTCCTCCTAATAACAGCTTATACTACACAAACATTATACAGATTAAGACTTTTATGTTGTTGTTATGTGCCCTCAAGTTGGACCCCACTCAGTGACCCCTCCTTGGGTTTCCGAGGAAGTATCACTACGGAAGTAGATTGCCCCATCTTCCTTCCGAGGTGTGGCTGGTTGGCTTGAACTGTCAGCCTTGAGGTTAGCAGTCAAGTGCCTTTGGGCACTACACTACCAGAGCTTCCGAGACTTGTATAGTATATTCAGACATGTACCACCATCTCAGCTTGTAAAAAGGAGGGAAAGAAAGCTGAAGATGCAATGGTTAGCAAGATTCTTATCTTAAAAATACTTGGTCATATATATGAACACTCTAGAAAAAATAAAATCGTCCTAAATTCTAATGATCAGAGTGGTAATAACATGGCATCTTATGAATACTCGGTTGAGGTTAAAAATGTAGTGGGCTTTAGAATCAAGGCTGGCTGGGGTTTTGAATACTTTGCTTTCTGGGTTTATACTACTTTAGTAGTAATACATGATGATGGATGGGTGAAGATTTTTCTCCTCTCCTCCCTTTTGTAATAGTGATACCTTTTCAAGTGGTTAAATCTCACATATGAAAAGGGCCTAGCATGTCTGCCAGACACAGACACACACACAAACCTTTTCCTGACCACTCCAAATGTTTCCACTTCACAGTCCAACACTTCAAAAGGAAGCTACTTCCTAAAATTCAGTTCTTAGCCCGTTCCAAGCTATTCTTCTCCAACTATTTATAAAATGGCTAACTCCCAGTCCTAACTTCACGTCAAATGGGCTGCTATGCATTGGCAACTGATGTCTAACCAGGGTTGCAAATTCAGTAAATCTCTTGTGCCCATTAAACCCAAGAGCTGGGACACATGAGCTAGCCATTTCACGTTAACTCCATTTCCAACTACTTGCCTTTTCTGCCAGTACTAAAGCTGGACAGTTTATCCCACATATGCTTGCTTTGAAAGTCACAAATGAGACTGGATACCTGGATCCTCTTCTTATATATGGCTGAGTAACCCCAATGCAACTGTATTCTCAAATGTTCCTGTCCTCTGAACTACTTTATAGGTAAGGTACCTCTTTACCTCAAATTCACATAATCTTTCCTTTACCTAAATGGGAACTCTCTGCCTTCTTCAGTTCCCCTCTAGCACACCTTGCCATTTGACTACAACTCATTTGTTTTCACCCTGCTGCCAAATGCTAAGAGCCTTTTCAAAAAGACCCTCAACTAAGATCTTCCACCTCACTCTAGGTTCAACTTCCCCTTACAGCAATAAAGTTCTGCATCTTCCTTTCACTATTAACCCTAAATCTAGAAAGAAGGTCATCCAAGGTCACAACAGCAGCCTAACCTTGAATTTGAAGGAAGTAATCTTCCTTACTCTTTCTTAGACATTAGATGAGGCCATTCCCTGCAAATAGCTTATCTCACAGACTACCACACGGTATAAAGGTATGACTCAAAAATGACTAAATGACAAATCAACATTCCAATTAGCATTTATTTATAAATTACTTGTTGAAAAGTTATTATGGGTGGCTTTATGTAAACCGAAAATAAATTTCCTCATTATAACCAACTTCTGGTATCAGTGCAAGTTTAAAAAAAAAAAAAAAACCTCCAGTAACTTGCATAATTTTTTTTTTATACTATTTCCATTTCCTTCTCAAATTATGAGTGAAAAGCGCATACACACCTTCCCCACCAAAAAGAGGGACAAAGGGGCTTCTCCCCTTGGCTCTCGTTTGTCATTTTTGGACTTGTCTACAAATGAACACTTATACCAACGAGTGCCAACTCAACCCAATGAAATCTGAGTAGGGTTATGTACTGAAAACAAAGCTGCCCATTTATAACTTAGTATGGTCTTAAAGGGATGTAAAGTCTTCCAATCTATAGACTACTTTTCCATAAAGCTTAATGTTGCTCAGGAGGTAAAGTGAAATACAAGTGCCTAGGACACTTGACTTAACCAGTCCCTCCTTAGAAGGAAGGTTGTTGGGCAATCTACTTCTGTAGTAATACTGCCTGGGAAACCCAAGGAGGGGTCGCTATGAGTTGGGTCCTACAGCACTTAACAACAGTCCCCACCTTACAACAGAGTTCCATTCTGAGAACTGTCATTAACTTGATTCTGATGGAGGTGTTTTTATTATTTAAAGTTTTCACATTATTACTGCCTTTATTATCATTATCTTTTTAAATCCAATCTTTTCTCTTTGCAAGTTGGAAATTTATTACCAAATTACGCACTGAATTGTATTCATGTTTTAGTTTGGGAAACATTTTGGCTACTGTCATGTGTTCTGGATAAAGAGAAATAACTAGGCTATGGAATGTTGACTGTAAAAACCTTACCTTGAATTTTTTCGATCCTAACAAAGGAAACAAAGTTAGCAGTATCAAAACACCACATTTTATACATTAAGAATCCCTTTTCAGATTTTCACAAGTGCTATAACTTAATTCTTTTGAGATTACCAATGAACTCCTGAAATTTTATGGTGATAAATAACTAAATCTACAAGATTGTTTTGATGAAATATGCTCCAACCCAATTTTTCTCCATCTACTTTGACTATGAAAATCTGTAAATGTTCTCAAAAAAAAAACAGTAGGCAACATCTAGTATGTGTGTGTGTATATACACACACACACACACATATATAGATAGAGAGAGAGAGAGAGAGAGAGACATTAACACCAACTAGATCAGACAACTGAATCATATTCAAGATCCTGGAAATAAAAGCATTAAATTACTAAACCAGTGGTTTGCTTATCACCTGGGATCTCTTCCAAATTACAGGGATAGACCAGCCTGGAAAACCGAGTCACTAGGCCTGGACACAGAATGTGGTGTGTTGAAAAATCTTTTCTATCAACACCATTCTTGGTAAGCACTATAGTAAAAGGAACCAGAGCTCTACAATAAAATACAAAGCAACTAGGATTTCCCATTCAGATACAGGTTTGGGTGTGAAACACTAGTGCACCACAGTCTAATTAAAAGTGGCAATACCCTCTATAGCTCAGTTGGTTTTAAGGACTGGTGCTTATATCATAAATACATTTTCTCTGACCAGTTTATATTTTCACTCCCTTTTCTGCTTAACAAACGAACATAATTCACAATGAAGTGAGAATGAAATTACTCTCAATAGCATACAAACTATAATCCTTATTTTTTTACCCTGCCACCGATTTAAATTCTTAACAGTGACATCAAGTGAATACCTGCCACCATTGTACCACAACTCAAAGGTTGGCTTTATGATGATTCCTTTTAGTATTATCACACTCAACTCAGTCCTTTTTATGGAAAATTACTGATTTGTATACTACCAAATAATGCTCACATGAATGTGCATTTATACAAGCAATGTAATTATGATTGCTGTACCATAAATTCCCTTAACTTCTTACATACCTTGGAGCAGGAGTAGCTTATAGGAAAATGTCAAAAGGCCCAGAAAAGAGCTCCGAATGAATCAATAGGCAGTTTTAGAACCATCTTCCTGTAATATGCAACTGTTAAAAGGTTTCACAAAGAACTCGAATGACACCAACTCTCTTCTCTCACTGAGATTTGCATGGAAGGTTAAGAGGACTACTGACCACTGCAAGTTTTATGATGTTAAAAATATCCCTAGATAAATGTAACTTATTCCAATGGTGTATCTTTCATATTAAAGACAAGGTCAAAACAGTATTAATCAAAATTGTCTTTAAAGAGCACATTTAAGGAAACTAAGCCACAAAGACTGTTGCATTATGATTTAATCTACTTGCACACAAATGTGAAATAGTACAACTCCTGATTCTAAGAGGAAGGTTATGCATGCCTCCATATTAGTCAATTAACTGTTACATTTGAACGATGTGAAATTTTACATCATGATGCATCAGTTTAGAATTCCCATGCAACACCTTTAATTATGTAAAACGGAAGCAGTTTTTAAAACTTTGAAAAGTTTTCATGCTAATGATGTCTTTTTATGGGCAACTTACTTTGTGTTAACAACATACTGGAGGTTGCTATACTGTGAAATGATGGTCACTGAGTATCATGGACCTTAAACTGGCTTCTACTAATATATGGGGAACCACTAACAATCACTTGGATGACAACTGAAGTTCACTTCAAAACATTTAATACATAGTGCCTCTTAATTGTGTTTCTTATAAAATAAGAATTATGTAACCAACTGATTTTCATGGGCCAAGACTGTGGCAATGGTGGATTCAACTGACTGTATTAACACAATAATGCTACTACTTTATTACTTCAAAAGCACTTTACAAGAAAATATAAGTATGGCTTCCAATAGGAATGTTATACCCGGACTTAGCATCAAGCTCACAGATTTTGAGTTTTGCAAGGAAAAACAGGCCTTCAAGTTAAACAACAATTTATAACCAAAACTTTAATCCCAAGGATTCTCACAAAACATATTACAAATGACAGCATGAAAAAAAATCTTGCACAGTAACTCAAAGTTCAGCTCTACAATGTACCCTTAAACTGGCAGGACATTGGTATCTTTGAAGTCTAAAATTTCCAAATAAATGATGTTACAAATAGTTATCTATTCATATACAGCAATTACATAAGGAATTTATGACCTAAAACAACTGTGGAAACCTATCAGATTCTACACCAATTGGGCAATCTCTGCACATAAGGAAAACTTTGACGGCCTTTTAAAAAACCTCTAACCTAGTTTACCAGTGCAGAATTTACCTTTATCTGCTGGCTTACATTCTCAGCAACTTTTAAAGAGCACTTACTCAACTACAGCTGCATCCTGTATCCCAGCTATGATAAACTAAAGTTCTCTGTTCAGTTTTTGCCAATTTGTTACCTTAATATTAAAACATCACACTTTAACTGGGCAAGATTTAGGGGTTTATTATCAGTCTATGCAAGACTAAGTTCAAAGCAAATTCAATTTTGCTTAAGGGGACATTGTAAAGTAATAAATTCTTGGTATCACATGCCTCATATGATCCATTTCAAACCATAGAGAATTACATCCTTGTATGTCACCGTTACAAGAGACAATAAACAAATTTGAACAGCTAAACATCTTAAAAATGCACCAGGCTTATGACGTCTCAAACAAAACTTGAATTTTCTGTACATACTCCTGTCAAATGAAGTTATTTCCTGTACACCACTACTCCTCTTCAAAAGTGATCTTCTATTTCCTTTCATTTGACCTAGATCGGCTAGAAGAAGAAAATAAAAATTTTAAACTATATCCGTAATTGTATTAGTGACGTAACTTTAGAGTTCTTTTCCAGGTAAAGTTATCAAAATAGCTAAAAAAGAGATGTATTTCTGTATTCAGTATTTTACCTCTGCAATGTCTTAATGGTACAAAGTCTTACCTCCGAGACCTAGAGAAGGATCGAGACGGCTTGTGATTTCTCTCCCGAGACAGCGATCTCTCTCTTCTCCTATCTCTAGAAAGGGACCTAAACAAGCAAAGAAAATCATGACTAGTCAGAAATAATTACCTATTAACAAGAATGTTTTCTAATCAGTTCTTGAAAACACAAAGCTGGTTCATTCTTAAAATTTACAACTCTGGCTATGATTCACTAAGGACTGACAATCTGTAACCATTAGTCCCATCACGTGAAAAATAAATTGGGAACAGCAGAGACCAACACTGCTATTTCTAAGAATCTGGTCCCAAAAAGGAGTATTTTAGTTATTTACCTGCTCCGGCTACGAGAGAAGCTTCTCCTCCTTGGAGATCTAAAAACAGAAACAGGAAAGTTAGACTAATCATCAATTACTACTGATGGCGTGAGGCATTTCCCAACTTTTCAATCTCACTGTTGGGCCCAGTGAATGTGCCGAAGAACTGGCACCCATCGTCCAAAAAAAAATAAAAAACCAAAACCAAACAAAACAAAAAAGAAAGTAAAGAAAAAAAAAGGGCACAGAAGGATTAAGGAACAAAAAGCTCAAGTGAAAAGCAGGTATTCCAACCATGGATTCACTTTAACAAAGAATGCTTCACAGCAGATCTGTCCAATGCAAAACTTCATGTCAAACTAACTTCACTACCCAAACACCACACCAAAATGTAGTCCCACTGGTAGTTCCAAAAACAGTACCATAAACCAGTATTTGGAACCCATGCAAACCTAGAAGTCCATGACAAGACTTAGGTACCAGGTGGATAGTGTAATTCTGTGAAAACGCGCTAGGTGTAAATATTGATGCCATTAAGTGCTACATTAGAACTGCATTTGTGATCATCACATTTACAAGTGTGTTTAGGCTTATCAAAATTACCTCAGCTTGGCCCACTTCACCCCAAAAATTGTTTTTAAATTTTGAAAACTGTTAGTAAAACCATTTAAAGGTGATAAGGATTCAACAAATTTTTGCTAGAAAGGAAAGCTAATCTGTTAGATATATTAAAATTTTTAGTTTGGCATCTCACACATGCAAATAAGTTTCACTTGAAGATCTAGTTACATTATGAGTTCCCTATCACCCTTAAAAGTTTTATTCAAGCAATATATATGTACGTTACCATTCAATTATGCACAGCCAGCCTTTGATCCAGAAAAAAGAATTACTTTAAGCCGCTTACTCCTTATTTTAACCAGCAGTAAACTGTATAAGCAGGAAAAACTTACTAGTTTTGGGTTTCAACAAGCTAGAAATGGTGAGGTGAGGCTGCCGGACTGACGGCCAGGAAGAATTTGCTGAAAAGGTTTTGCCAGATGTTGCGTTGGATTTAGTTGGTTGGCGAAGGGGGTGTTGTGGATTTTTCCTGCTTTTTTGTTAGCCGAAGGCTGCTGCTGTAGTTGTTGTGAAGACATTTGGTAAATAAACAGCTGAGCTGATTGGCCAGGAATGTGTGGGCGGTCGAGGTGGCTGCTGCCGATTTGGTTAAGGTTGGAGAGAAGGCTGAGAGAAAACAGCATGCTCGGGAACCAAAGGGCGGTGCAACCTGGCGACTGGCCATGCCTGGGTCATGTGAAACGACACCAGCCAAGCTGAATGGGGCGCGCTGGTCACATGACGCTGAAAGGGGTAGTTGATTGGCTAATGCAGACTCAGAGGGTGGTGAGAAGAGACATGATGGTGACTCTGTAACGGGGTTCATTTTTATTAATAGATGGACCAAAAAGCACAAAAAAAAAATGAAAAACAAGCCATCAGTACAACCATCTATTAGCTAACAAATACTCTTTATTATGATGGGCAACAGTGTGTTGTTTTATTTTCAAAATAGCAAAAGGGGCAAGATTTTGAACTCCTTTCTCCTAGGACTGCACTCACCTGTAAGAGGTAAATTCAGTCCCGTAGAAACTATTTTGGAGGTTTGAGGAAAAGTGGAGTTAGCATCCAGACAATACTGCCTGGTCCAAGAATGATGCCATTTTCAATTACAAAAAAAACTGAATTCTCTCCTATTTGGGTTTGAAGAACAGATGACTGGGATTACTTCCTTTTTAGCCCCCTTTATCGGTCAGTGACTTAAGTTAGTTTCAGAATGATTTGTACTTTACCAACAGTAACATTAAACAGCTGTCTGTTTGATAAATATTACAATTGTGCTAATAGTAGAAAATACATTTTTGTGAAGAACTGGAGTTGAATGTAATGTTTTGTCATTATGGAGTCAAGAAATGGAAAAAGGCCTAAATTGAAGTATAAGGGAAGATTTGGAAAGATGCAACTAGAAGATGAACTAGAAGATAGATCCAAGATAGAAGTTACTAACTACCAACATGAACAGTGACCTAAATAAAGACAAAAGCCAACACTCAGCACAACTCACATACCCCAAACTACTGCCCAGCAAAGATTTCATAAAAACCTCCTATTCTTCACAATATTAAGTTTTAAACCCATCAAAATATTTTAAGAGAAATACCTGCTCCTACTAGCTACTCCATTACACCAATACCTTTAAATACTATCTCTCAAGTACCTGCGGCGAGGTGGAGGACTTCTTCTACGATAATCATCTCGAGGGCGTCGGCCCCAGGAAGGTGGTGGACCACGATTCCGACTTCTTTTTTCACCATTTGACAGTTCCACTCTTACACGACAGCCACACAGAGTTCTAGGAGGGGAAATTATTAAATTTAAATTTATTTAACTTACAGCAGCCAACTTTCTAAGAAATGTGTAGCAAACATCACATCTACATTATCTGTTGTTGTTAGCTGCCACTGAGTTGATTCCAATCCATGAATCCTTTTAATACCAAAACAAGTTTTAGTTCTTATTATTTCTAAGACAAACAGTTGAGCTGATTCCTCATTTAATTTCAAATCAAATGTAATAAAGGATTTTTTAAAGTATTAATTTACAAGTAAAGAAAACCAGCTTCCTTGTATTTAATCATTTATATGTTAAAGCCAATTTGATTAATGGGCTCAATGTTAACGTAATAGTTGCTATGCATGTGAACTTAAAATTTCACCCCTGAAGAACTAGTTCACGTTACCTCTGCTGTGACCATCTCCCTTGAGTCCCAGCAATTATTTCAGGTACAGATCTTACTGTACTTTATTTGTTGACTCCCCAGCCCTTGGGAACAGAACTCCAAGACAAAGACCAACAGAACCATTTTGGTCACTTTTTATCACCTTTACCCCACAATACTTGGATAAAAAATTAAAGCTGGGAACACAGTCACCCCACTCCCATCCTTCCACTGGTTCACAACCAGTAAGTTTAGACAGTCACTATATTGGACAGTAATTGGGAAAAATTCCTATTTCTGCAGTCTGTTTGGATCAACAATGATTTTCCATAGTCTTATAGCCAGCACTTAGACCCTTTTTCATAACAGCAAATGAAAGAGACAACAATTTAGGATACTGTGACCTGCTTCAAAACAAAAATTCTAAAACGCATCGATTTTCCTTGGTTTCTTGCAACCCAAGGATTTTCAAATGCCAGGAAGGAGGCACAGGGCAACCTCTGCTACTATTAAGACTTAAAAAAAAAAAAAAAAAACCTCACTGCCTGGCTACCCCTACTGGGTTTCCAAGATCATAAATCTTTACAGAAGCAGACTGCCTCATCTTTCTTCTGCAGAGCTGCTGGTGGGTTTGAACCTATTGATTAACATCCAAATGTTTTAACCACTTATACCATCAGAGCTCCTTTAGGGATTACTTACCAGCTAATAGTTTAGCTAAGAGGACACTATAAACACAAAGGAAAATGAAGAGCTAACAAATTCTGATTTCCTAGGCAAAATAGTTCAAACATAAAAATAATCCCTGTGTAGCTATCATACAGCTACAACAATTAACAGCCAGCTCATGGCCTGGATGTTGCTATTCCCCCACCCCCCCATCCCCAAGTTATTTAAAATCCATGAAGAATTTGGATTTACCATTAAATCTCTTAATAAGCATCCTTCAAATGCCAGCTGAATAAAAAAACTTTTTCTACATATTTCCACTAAAACAGGCTTTAATTGTAGAAAGGGCTTATGTAAATCTCCAATAACATCAATTTTGCTTGATGGTGCACACAGCAAGATGCCATATAAATATACTAAACACTAGTTAACATTTCTATCATTAAATTACCTTCCATCTAGCTCTCGAACGGCATCAGCTGCATCCCGAGGATCTTCAAATTCAACAAAAGCAAAGCCGGGAGGGTTTCTAGCAACCCACACACTCCTGAGTGGGCCGTAATATCCAAAAGCCCGTTCCAATTCAGTCTTGTTGCCATTGTTTCCAAGATTACCTACATAAACCTTACAGTCCAATGGACAGGAATCACGATGCATTTCTGTAACAACAAGAAAAGAGCCAAAAGTATTAATCATCCGGCCAAATAATCTACATGGGTAACCACACAGGTTAGAGGAAAAAAGACAAGGGAAATGTTACCCCTGAAACAACCTAAATGCTCACATATATACAATGGAAATAAGCCATAAAGAGAAACAAAGTCCTGATAAACATTACAACATAGATGATTCTGTAACATTATGCAGAGTAAAGTTAGTCACAAGAGGACCAATACTGTATGATCCCACTTATATGAACAGGCAAAATGTGTAAAGATCAAAGTTTATTAATGGTTACCAGAGAGTGGAAGGGGGAATCTTTGCTTAAAGGGTACAGCTCCTGCTTATGTGCCATAATCTGGAAATGTTGCACACATAACGATAACGAATGTCACTGAATTGTACATGTAAAATATATTGAACTGATACTTTTGTTATTCGTCACAGTAAAACAAAAAACTATGTATGTTACGTATAGTAAAGTTATCATACCTATCGAAGCTCCTTAAAAAAAAAATTACCCTCAAAACATCCACCCCCCATTAAGAAGCCAGTGGAAAATGGGGGGTGATACCTACTTGGGAAGTGAGAAAATACTGGAGAGGTGCATTTAGTACAATCTGGGCACTGAATAAGGGGCTTTACCAGCCACCTAATTCCCAAAACAAGTTATGAGAAAAAGAAAACCTGCTCAGGAGCAAATCAATTTTGTCAGACTCAAAAACCAAATGAACTCAATTGTAACCAATGTACTACAGGAGAAAGATGTTAATAGGAGATACTGTACAAGGGAGAGGGAGTACATGGGCATTCTGAATTATCTTTCTGCAAATCTACAACTACCCTAAAAAAAGTCGTATTTCAAAAGAAAAAAAATTGAGGATCAAGAGAGCAAATATTTAATGTCAAACCACCAGATATACAATACAAATCTGCTTTCATAAGGAAAGATTACTACTAGGTTCAGTAAAGCCAAATTATTTTTACTTTAAAAATGCTATCCTTGCTGAACATTTACATTAAGTAGATAAACTTCTTGGAGAAATCAATCATGTGAGAACTGAAAGGCAATGATTGCACAGGGAGACATCTGGGGGGGGGACACAAAGAAGAGATAACTATGGGGAGAAGTGAGAAGAGAACTGTTGCATTGTGGGAAATTGTAGTCACTGTCATGAGGAAAAACTGCTTTATGGAAAATTAATTTGCTCTGTAAACTTTCACCCAAATCACAATAAAAATGTAAAAAAAAAAAAAAGCTATTCTTGAAATGCTACAGGCACTTCCTTTTCCACAGGGAAAAGTGCTAATACCACACACATCATCAAACAAATCAAAGTCATGAAGTAAAAATTCCTCTAACAGCCAAGAGGAAGTATTAGGTTTAAATATATGTAATAGCTCATAGCAGCACTAGTCACAACAGCCAAAAGTTAAAAACAGTTCAAATGTCCTTCAATAGATGTACTGATGATCAAAACGTGTTCTACACATAAAATGGAATATGCAGCAATTTTAAGAAATGCACTGAGACATGTTACATTATATCTAAAACATTCTAAATGAAAGGCATACACAAAATGTCATTATTTCATTTATATAAAATATCCTGAATGATAAATCCATACACAACCGTCAGTGGTTGCTAGGACCTGGGACGTGCAACGGTTAAGGCCTACACACCAGCCAACAAGTTGGCGGTCGAATGCACCAGAAGCACCTCAGAAGGCAGGCCTGGCAATCAATCTACTTCTAAAAGATCATGGTACTGAAAACCCCATGGAGCACGATACTACCCTGCAGAGTCGCGATGAGCGGGAAAGTACCTGATGATACCAACAGGGCCTGGGAGCGACAGCTCAATACGGGGTCTCCTTTGAGTAAGACAAACATGATTTTTTACTACGGGTCCACAACACTGTCACTGTACTAAATGCCACTCAGCTACACACTTTAAAATGGTTCATTTTATATTCTGTAAATTTCGCCTCAATAAAAAAAATTACAAACGTCACTTTGCCACTGAATCTTATCAACTGGTAAACCGGTTTCAATTACATAAATGCCTACCCTATTCTTTCGCTTGAAAGGCTTTTCACCAACATCAAATTCTTTCATTAAACTTATCTAATGAAAAATCCAGTCCAGACACATCCTATTTACCATGACTTACCCTGTGCCCCGGAGTTGTGAATTAAACCACTAGTCCAAATTTTAGAAACTTGTGATCAGTTTCAGAGCTATGTATTAATGATTAGAAAATGCAGTAACAACGTAGCTCAACTGTAAGGAAGATCTTCCAACTTAATAAAAACTTCAACCCGTAAAATGTGGTAGTTAAAAATAACACGAAAATAAAGGTGGCGTGAAAAAAAGACGAATAGGGAGAAGGTTTAATAAGGACTGGACGGTTCAATGTTAATCACTGACTTCAAGAAAAAAAAAATTCTAAGGCGTTTCCTTTAAAAAAAAAAAAGAGCAGCCCAAAAAAAAAGGCGCCATAAGTTTAAAGGCCGCGGCCTGGAGGCCGATTCGGTTACTGCCCCCCACCCTTTCTTTCGTCTCAGCACACCCCCTTGGCTCTCCTTAGCGAAAGGGAATAAATATCCCCGCTCCCAAAGCCCGGAAACATACAACGTTGGGCCGGGAGCCCCCGCCACCACTCTATGCTGAACGTCACAAAATGGCCGCGGCGCCTCTTTGTCTCGATTTGGCGCCGCCATTGGGCCTGGCCCCACCTTAAGACTGTTAAATCCCGCTTTTCATTTCATTCTTTTCATCTCTGGTTTCTTACCGAAATCTTGAGATAAAAACGCAGAGGCCTAAAACCACACGCTCAAATAGGTCTTCTCGTTCTTCTCCGTCCCAGCTCCTACAGATGCTAGCTCTCCTTTAGCATCCACGAAATGGCGGACTACCGCCGTCTTCTCGCCCGTATTTATATGCCACGCTGGAGTCACATGATTGGATGAGTTTACCCAATAAGAGGCTAAAGAAATCATGACGTAGCGATTACAAAAGCAACGAAAGCCGCGGTTGCCGGGAGCGCGCGCGGGCCGTGTTGCCTAGACCTTGGAAACGTGCGCTCGCGCGCTCTCGTCATCTCCTGCCTGGACCTGGCTGGGGTGTTTTCTAGCTCATGCAGACTCCGGAGTTACTCTCAGTCCCCTCGCCTTCATCTCCAAATTAATTGGGGTTTAATAGTACCATCACTGTCAGTCACAAACACTAATATAGCTATTTGCTGCTAACAAGATCCAATGATTAGATGAATTTATTCATTCTTGTGAGCATTTGGGCTGGAACTAGAATTGCGTTTACAAACGTGGCTCAGAGTTGTTCCCAAGATCAGGAGCTGTTTGTGAGCGGGCACCAGATTGTGCCCAAGTCTCATGGAAACGCTTGATCCTGGTAAGTTTCAACTGACTGGTTTCCCGCCTCTCACTCAAATTGCAACGACCCAGCTGGCTGAGTCTGTTGGCGTCAACATAGGGGATTCTTGAAGTGTTTATCAGAAACTCATCAGCAAATTAAACCAGTCAGGCCACCTAGAAACAACCACCTTTAGCAAATAACAGAAAAAGGAAGTTTCTGAAGACTGAATTTAAATTATAGGCCAGCGGTTCAAATCCACCAGCCACTCCTCGGAAAGAAAGTTGGGCAATCTATTTCCATAGTGATTCTGCCTTGGCAGGCCAAGGAGGGGTCTCTATGAGTCGGGTCCGACTCGAGGGCACATAACAAAACAAATGCCAGAAAGGGTACCTCTGGCCTTCTTTCTCCTGATGCCCTTGCCCAGCTTGGCTAAGGCCACTGTATTTACACACTCCTTCCTCTATTTACCACTTTCCCAGGGAAGGCAGAACCCAGAACCAAAACAATAACAAACTCTTTTGAGAGAAATACTGTGGTTGTGTTAGAAGAGTCACCAAGATCTCCCTCTCCTGTTCAGTGAGTTCAGCTAGGAAGTTTGTCTCTGTGCTCCCAAATTTACCCAGTCAAGTTTGACTTACTGCTAAAATTTATTTAAATCTGTTCTCACAAAAAAAAAAAAAAAAAGAAGAAGAAAAGAAAACAACAACAATTAATATTTTCAATGGGCTCAAACATCCCAACCATCTTGAAGATAGCACAGCACTGGGTGATTTTCTTTCTGTTATACATAAGGCCTCCAAGAGCCAATTCCAGGGCAACTAAGAATTGTCCCTCTTAGCTGAAAGATATGCCAATCAATTCCTTAGGTTCTATCTCTCCTGGATGTGTTCTTCTGAAGTCTTATCCTTTATTGTGATTCTAAATGGTTTGTCCTTAGTGGAAAAAACAAAGAAAGATATAATCACTCAGAGCCTGAGTTTCCTCACCTGTAAAATGGGGATTTCATATTACAAGAGAGAGGATGGGAACTACAACTGAGCCAGGCCTCTTGCTGGCCTTTTCAGGGAGTCTCCATTCTGAGGAAGGTGAAGGGGTAGAGAGTGGTCAGCAGAACTTTTCACCTTCTCTTCTTTATTTCTCTCTCTAGATAGTTCTCTCCTATGGCTGACTTATGTTTGCCTTGACTTGCTCTCCTCCTCTGTCTAAGCTTTCTCTTCTTTTTGATTTTATTTCCTTCTATCTGCTTTCATAAAGATTAACTCACTGACGTCAAGTCGATTCCGACTCATAGCAAGTCCTTCTTGGGTTTTCGAGGTGGTATCTCTATGGAGGTAGATTGCCCAGTCTTCCTTCCGAGGAGTAGCTGGTGGGTTTGAACTGCCAGCCTTCTAGTTAGCAGTCAAATGCCTTAGGCACTATGGTTGAAACCCTATGGGGCAGGCAGTCCTACCCTGTTCCATAGGTTTGCTATGAGTTGTAATGAACTGGATGACAACAGGTTTGGGTTTTTCTCCCCCCTCTTCTACAATCTTTACAGAAAAGGAGCCCTGGTTGCTCAGTGGTTAAAGGGCTTGGCAACCAGCCAAAAGGTTAGTGGTTCAAACTCACTAACTGCTCCAAGGGA